GAGAAGAGAGCCAGGCACTGCCCAGGGCTGCCCGGGGTGGGGTGGGGCAGGGCCACCTAGTCATGCTCCCTTGTGCTGTAGGCAAAAGTGCACCATGGGCATCCGAGGAAATGCAGAAACCTGGATGTGATTCACTGCAGGAAGTGCCACCCTGGAGACCAAGTTATGGGGTAACTGCCTCCTCTCTCTGAGCCTCAGTTTCCTTTCAGGCCCACAAAACTGGGTTTCTGTGACTTTGTAGCCCTCCTCTGCTAGGAGTTCAGATGCTGCCTGCTCAGTGCAGCCAGAATGTGGACCACCCTTCAGAAAACAGCTGTATCACTGTGCCCCCCAGAACCCCAGTGCCCACTCCTGGCAGGTAGAAATCTAGGGCAGGTCCTGGGACTTGCCTGGTCACAATCAAATAAGAGGTTCCCAGTCACTTTGAGTAACAGAAATGGTCTCATATTAGTAACTAGTGTGTCCAGTTCACTGTAAACCGATCCCAGATACCCTCCCCCCACCCCGAATCCCCACCCCAAGTGCTCACCTACAAAGCACTGCCTCTCACCACCTCCAAGGAGGGGAATGCTGCCAGAGAGGTGGGTGGCACCCTAGCACACTCTCATCAAAGAAATGCTCTCTCATGCTTCCCGTGGCTCCACCTCATATAGGCTGGGAGGAGGCTAGGAATTAGTAATTCCATAACCCATTTTCAGGCACTTTCTTTCCACAGTTTGGAAGTGTGTATATGGGTGTGTGGTGGGGTGTCTCTCAGGGCACCTTGTGAGAGGCTTCCCCTTAGGCCTCTGGCTAGAGCTGAGACCAAAAGTATCCCATGTGAGCCTCCTGTTCTGTGAATGGTGGCTTGAGTGTCATAAGCCCATGACTTATAGAAGGAGAAGAAACTGAGACTGTGGATATAATAGGAAAAGTCCCCCATGGTGGTAGTGGTGTGGTGGGCGGTGGGGAGGGGGCAGGGAAGAGAAGACAGGACAGAAGCAGAGCCCTGAGGTGAGTTGTTGGGAATGGAGAGACAATTAACATTTCATCTGGGTCTATAGGGGGTACACTTGTGCTCCACTGCCTGCAACAACAGCATGGCCTGTGTGGCTCTGGGGGTGCTCACTTCCTGTGAGGGCCCTGCAGGGGTCAGAGGTCATAAGCTCTGGGGTAGGGGTGCTGCACCAGGGGAAAGCTGCCAGGCCACACCCTGAGTTGCCTCCTTTCCTAGCTCCCCTGGGCAGTTTTCCTACCTTGGGAGGGGAATGAGCTCCACCCTGGTTACCCCTGGAGGCCAAAGTTTGACATCTGCACCTCCCAGGCTACTGGGAGGTCAAGCATGGGAACATGAAGAGTGAATAATCAACAACTCGCTGATATAAAGAAATAAGCATTTCATACCCATCGTATGAGCAAAAAACTACACTGTCTGACGCTACCAAGTGTGGCAAGGATGAGAAACAATGGTGACTTTCATGGGCTGCTAGTGAGAGTCAGGAAGGTCCAGGTTTAGCCTGAAGCTTATAGGACTTGGGGACCTTCTTTGTAAAAGAATACAAAATGGGGCAGGGTTTTGGAAGGGGCTGAGCAAGTGGGGGTCCTGAGCTTCATTAAGCTTCTGCAGCCTCCCAGTAAGTCTGCTTCTCGGGTGTGTACATCACAACACACCCGTGTGCACATGTAGAACCCTCCGTGCTGCATGGAAAGCGCCACAGAAAGATATGTAGGGGCTGTTTTCATCCTGTGAAAACAGGTAAAGCAGGGCAAGTACAGCTCAGCACATGTAGCCTGAGGTGGTCCTGAGGATGCAGGAGCAGGGTAATTCAGATTTGACCAAGTTCAATGATAATTACCCGGGTGCCTATGAAAGTTTTATATATAAACTTTCCTGTAATATTTGAAATTAAAAAAACCAAAGTGACATTCAAGCAACATAAAATTCACCACTTAAAACTGACCAATTCAATGACATTTAATATATTCGCAATATTGTGCAGCCACCATCTCTATTGAATTCCCAAACATGTCCATCACCCCAAGAGGAACCCATACCCGGTAAGCAGTTGCTGCAACCCCCTTCCCTCTCCTCTCAGCCCCTGGCAACCACCAGTTTGTGTTGTATTTCTATGGATTTACCTTTCTGGATATTTTATATAAACAGAACCAACAATAGGTGACCTCTACTCAGCACAGTGTTTCCAGCAGTGTTTCAACCTTGCAGTATGTATTAGTGCTGGATTCCTTTCTATGGCTGAGAAAAGTCTCCCCTTGTATGGCTAATCACAATCTGTTCATTGATGGGCCTTGGCTGTTTCTAGCTGTTGGTTATTGCGGGTGGTGAGTGATGAACACGCCTGCCCGTGGATCTAGTCAGGTCCCTGCTTTCCATTCTTTTGGTTATAAACCTGGGCATGGAATTGCTGGGTCATATGGGGCTTGGGGTTTTGTTTTTGTTTTTTTGAGGACCCACCAGTTTCTCATAGCAGATGAACCATTTTCCATTCCCACCATTAATGCACGAGAGTTCCATTTTCTCCACAACCTGGCCAGCACTTCTCACTTTCCGTTTTTTAAAATGTCATCCTAGTTTTGTGTGCAGTGGCACCTCACTGTGGTTTTGATGTTGTTTCCCTGGATGACAACATTATGTGCTTATCGGCCATGTGCCCTATGCATATCTTCTTTGGAGAAATGTCTGCTCAAGTCCTTTGCCAGTTTTTTAATCGGGTTGCTTATCTTTTTGTTGTTGAGTTGTAAGAGTTCGTAATTTAGAAACACCTCCCAGCGTGGCAGCACTGCCTAGGCCCTTTAATCCTACTTTCCCTACACTTGGAGACATAGGCAGCTTTGCATTTACTTTTTTTAAAAAATATATTTTATTGATTTTTTACAGAGAGGAAGGGAGAGGGATAGAGAGTCAGAAACATTGATGAGAGAGAAACATCGATCAGCTGCCTCCTGCACACCCCCCACCGGGGATGCGCTCGTAACCAAGGTACATGCCCTTGACCAGAATCGAACCCGGGACCCCTCAGTTCACAGGCCGACGCTCTATCCACTGAGTCAAACCAGCCAGGGCTAGCTTTGCATTTACAATCCTGCAGAGGTGAACTCGAACTTGCAGGGCTGTGTCTGCCTTCTTTCTGCTCTCCCGCCCCCTCTGAGCCCACCCCCAACCTAAAGAGGAAGAGAGAGAAGACAACCTGGCATCCAGGGCCTCTCAGGAAAAGAGTGGAGGGAACAGGGCTGAGGTAGAAGAGAAAAAACAACTGATAAGACAGGTGAGAACGAAGTGTTCTGGCAGGAAGAATTATTTCTTCTAGAAGCCCCCACCATCGCAGGTCACCACCTGGAGGAGTAAGTTTCCACTAATCCCTGGCTCTGGTTATATTTCCCACACCCCTGTTCTCTCCCTTCACTTGGTGGGGTGGCGGTGGGGGTCCTCCTGACCCTCCTTTGAAGATGGCTCTGCGGCTGTTCCTACCTCAGGGAAAGTGGTGAAGACCGTGAGGGCACTGGGCAGGGACGTTCCTTCCCCTAAGCTGCTGCACCAAGAGCAAGCAGAGGGCACGGGGAAGCCAGACCCTAACCTGCCACCGCCTGCTGCCACCTGAGCCAGCTCTTGTGAAGGCAAGAGGGGGGCCCTCCAGAACCCTCCTCATGGAGCCCAATAACACTCACTCATGGTTCTTGCTATAATGCTCCCCAGACAGCTACACAGAGTGAGCCACCCATTGGGGGCAATTGAAGAGACACTAGGGAGAGCTTTCCTTGTTTAAAAATGCCTCTGCCCCATCACACCCGCCATCAGCCATCTTCTCTTTCGGTCAGAAAACCCTACCTTCCTAAGAACAGTCCAGTAGCCTCTACAGGAAGTGCCATTCCTTAGGGGCACTGCAGGCGCGTTTTCATCAGTCACCCAGCCTCAGGCAAGTGCAGGGGAATGAGCCCTTTGGGGAATGAATGTACCAGTGGCACAGCCCCTCCCCACTCTGCCGGGCACAGGGAGGCTCCCTATCTACATCTGGCGGGGGTTGGTCCAGGGCTTCTTCATTGCCTTGATTCTGGCTAGCCCAGGATTTGAAGTCCCTCTGGATATACCCAGGTTTGGGATCAATTCAACTCTCATGAGCTCAGTGATCCAGTGCCAAGAGACAACCTGGGGCCCCTTAGTCCCCCTGCAGCCCCCCAAACCCTCCATGGATGGCAGAACCTGCTTCCTTTGGGGATCACCCTTCTGCCTCCATCAGGCAGTAAGAAACTGGGGTCCCATTTTGAAACAGTCAGGTTTGGCCATTTTCTTTTCCTACCAGCTCTCCAGGCAGCCACCTCTGAGGTGGGGGTACAGGAAAGGAGTCTCCATGACTTTCACGTCCAAATCCACAAAATAAACACAGCTCGCCCCCTTCCAGGTAAGAGCCGGTGGCACCTGGGGAGTACCTTCCCTTCCGCCGCCACCGCAGCTGCGCGCTCCAGGGCAAGGAGAGACCGAGCGCAGGTGCAGAGGCCTTGGCAGCTCAAGGTCAGCCCAGCCGCGGGATCGCTCTGCCTGCACACCTCCCAGCCAACACACACGCGCACCAGTGGAGCAAACCACAGCCTGTTTTGCTCCTTCTACGACACCAGCCTCATCTCCAAACCTGGGCTGGTGAGCTCAGGCCTCTTTTGCAGACTTTAACAAACAAATCCTAACCCTGGAAAAAGCTGGGCACCTCTAAGTGGACATCGCTTTCCAATAGGGCTTCTTCTGCGTGGCCCCTGCGAAGCGAGCGCAGCTTTGGAACCGGCGCGCAGCGAAGGGACCTGGCTCGCTTCCAACCTCTGACCCAGGTTGACCACTTGGTTTCCCCTCTTAAGCCTGTGTTCCTATTGTCGTTGGTCTAGAAGGGGCCAAAGGACTGAAAGGGTAGAGGGGTTAGGGGACGGGAGACCCTCCGCACCTTAGCCCCACACCCTTGTGCGGCCGGGACTGCGCCGCTTGCGAATCACTCCCCAGCGCGGGTGCGCGAGCCACTTACAAACTCGAGGATGAAGAGCAGGTCGGGGAAGGTGGTGAAGACCGCGAGGCCGCTGGGCAGGGAGCTGCCCCCCGACGCCGCTGCGGGGGCCATGCCGGCGGGCTGCGTCGGCTTCGGGATGGGACGCGCGGCTCTGCTCCGCGATGACCGCTGGGTGGCTCGGTGGAGGCCAATGACCCGGGCCCTCGCGCGCGCGGATTAAGAACAGGGGCGCTAGGCAGAGGAGGGAGGAGCCCAGGCCGCTGCCCGCCCCGCCCGCCCCGCCCGCCTTCCCGCAGGGCGCGCCCCAGGGGACCGGCGCGGGAACGGGGAGGGGAGCTGCTGGCGTCGCCCTGACCCACTCCGAGGGCGCGCCAGGGGCGCGGGGAGCAAGGGCGGGAGCCTGCCTCTTGGACCCAACTCCGGTGCCACCGGAACAAGAATAAGCCACTTAGGTTGTGCACTCTTAGCAGGTGATCACCACCCCTTAGGAATGACAACCATCAATCACTACCTCCCCAGACTCCTCACCCTGGCGCCCCACGACTTGCCATTGCTTTAACTCTCCTTAAGCTGGGTATCTTTCTGCGGGGTGCATGCACATGCGCACCATCCGCGGCCAGGCTCGACGCAGGGCAAGTTCCTAGTCCTGCTCCCCGGGGGTCTGCAAGAGCGGAGCCGAGACCATCTGTGGCCACCCACCCCTTCTTTCTGCTGCGCTGGAACCCGTGAGCCGTCGGAGCGCTCACTCTGAGCGTTAGCTGCGAATCATGGAGTGACTCTCGGCCACCCGGCCCGGAGGAGGGCTGCCGGTGCTGCCGGTGCTGGGGCAGATCGGCGCTCAACCCTAGGGGCAGAGTTATCCCCTTCGCCCAGAGGGGCAGCTGGCGCCTCCTCCTCGAGCCCTTTGACTGCCTGTTAACTGTGGCGCTTGTTTTTGTCGTGTGTGTGTCTCCCCGCCCCCCGCCCCCCTCCCCGCGCACCACAATTTCTTTCTTAAAAAAAATTATTGATTTTAGAGGGAGATAGATTTGTTGTCTCACCCATTCATATTCACGCTGCAGTCATTGGTTGATTCCTGTAAGTGCCCTGCCTGGACCCAACCACAACCTTGCCCTGTTGTATCTGGAGAAAAAGCTCCACCCAGCTGAGCTCCCTCCCCGCCAGTGTTTTTTTTTCTTTATTTTTTTTCTTCTTTATTTTTTTAACAAGTATCACACTGAGTGGTTGCCTGTTTATTTTAATCTAGGCACTGTTACCCGGGCATCCCCCAACCCCACCCTGCACCCACTCAGCCTCCCCAGCACTTCTGTGGCTTCACCCACAACTGGTGGCAGGGCAGCCAGCTGCTCCCCTCTCTCCAGTGGACCCCTCACTCTTCCCCTCTACACAGCTCTTTCCTCCCCAGTCCCTCTGAAAGAAGTAAGTTCCCTGCCCAGGAGCTATCCATTCTGACCACTTTTGCACGGGGGCCAGGCATTTGAGATGAGAAAATCCCACTGCAGCTCTGTGAGTCTCCCTGGGGCTGCTGGTTTTGATGGCCTGAGACCCAGGGGACCATTGTGCCAGGGCCCATTGCCCCGCCCCCTCCCTATTCCGGGGACCCCTTCTGCCTGGAGGAGCCTACATGGGCAGTGAGATAGTCAGGGCTGGGGGTTCATATTTACAAGAAGCCCAGGACCACACCTCAGTTTCCAGCAGAATATGAAAAACCAGCCCCAGCCAATAATAAGTCATTGCAGTGTCCTCAGTCCTTCCAGCAGCATAGTGGATGTGAGTGCGGGGGTCAGTCTTGGCTGGACCTGGGCTTCTGTCAAAATAACAACATGGCCTGCCCTGGCTGGTGGCTCAGTTAGTTGGAGTGCCATCCTATACCCTAAAAGGTTTTGGGATTGATTCCCAGTTGCTGTGGGTACAGGAGGCAACTGGTCAATGTTTCTCTCTCTCCCTTCCTCTCTCTCTAAAAATCAATAAAAACATGTCCTTGGGTGAGGAATAATAATAATACGGCCTGGGGTGGGTTTCTACAAAGTAGAAAGTAAAAGTTACACTACTATGCCAGCTCGAGGGCTGAAGAGGTCACCTCCCACTTGTGTATGGGGGGAGGGGGTGGGGCAGAGGGACCTGCTCTGAGAAAGATCCATGGCACAGGAAATGCCAGTAAATCATAGCAGATGATTTGCTTTTGAGGCCTGAAGAATGACTCCCCTTTGACCCATAAGGTAATGGGGCTCAGAAAGGTTAATTAGCTGTTCAAGGCCACAGAGCTGGTGGGGGCGGGGAAGCTCAGCCTTGAACCTGAGTGATGCTGTGCCTGCCTCCAAAGCTACAAGTACTTAAGGCCATGCTGAAGATGGACAATGCCAATCAAATGCCATGCTCCATGCAGACCATTGGCAGACACCCAGATCCAGCCTTCGTGGTCATCTCAAGCATGGCACTGCTTGTTCTCTGAGGCATCCCTGCCCGGCCAACAGGGCTCTGACCCTCACAGGGAACAGAAGGTTAGAGGTCATCATGCCTGTTTATGGATGGGGAAGCTGGATGAAGGCCAAGCTCACAGAGCTACTGTGGCCAGCATTTACCCCAAGGGATCTTACTTGTTTCAATCACCACAGCCCCGAATCTCCATCCAAGACATTAAGCAATGAGGGCGCCTGCTGGACAGGTGAGTTAACGGCAGGCACAGTGGCCTTGGCTTTAGCACTAAGTGCCCAGCACCACCATAGGCACTTTGTCCACATGACTCCATTTTATCCCACAGAGTCTTTCAAATAGGTGTCACCCAGAGTGGGGAGGGGACAGGCTCAGCGTGCGAAGGGGACGTGCCAGACCACAGGGAGGGCAATAGGACCTCTTGACTCCCGAAGGCCGCTCCACCGCCTGTCTCTACTGCATAAAATCCACACCCTTCAAACCAGTGGTGTTTGCTTCTCAGAGAGCAGTCCCTTGATGGACCAGTGGGGCACCTAGACCCTGCTGCCTCCAGAGACAATGAGCCACCGAGTGTGGTCTTTTTCTTTTGTTCCCAACCTCTTCTAGGTTCATGTTTCCTTGTGCCAGAGAGGCTAGGCACCCCCCACCTCCTGAGGCGAGTCATCGCCAAGCTCTGCGTGCTGGTGTAGTCTGGGTGTCTCAGGGACAAGGAAGAGGTGGAAGGGCTGAAAGTCCCAGCTCCCTGAGGTGAGGTCCATCTAAAAGGGACATCACATGCAGAGTCAGTAGACACCGGGGCTGGACCTGCACTGGCACTTTCCCCATCTCTGCAAATGCTGAGCAGTGCGGCCTGGGCCATCACTCTACTTCAAGGTTGGGGTAGGAAGAGGCCCCCATGTATGAGCACCTGTTGGGAGCACTGAAGATGCAACCCTGGTAGAGGCCCCTGTCCTAAGTCCCCATCAGTACCAGCTCAGTGACAGCCAGGCAACAGGGATAGCGTGGGAGCAGGGTACATGTGATCCCTGCCTTTTTGAAGCTTATCATTCGTTGCTGGAGACAGGGATCAACCAGACATCCACATAATAAATGTGCGATGAGGTTTGACGCTAGAAGGAGAGAGCGGGAAGTCCCTGAGAGCATCCACCAGCGCAGCCTGGCTTGGCCTGGGTCAGGGAAGCTTGTGGGAGGAAGTGCCGCTTGAGTGAGTGAGCAGTGGTTAACTGGGGGAGGATCAGCCTGCGCCAGGTCCCCCGCTCCCTTACCCCCTACCCCCTACTGTCTGAGGAGGAGCATTAGGTGATGCTCTACATCCTGGATGCTGCAAGTACAAGGAGGGACATCCTAAGTAAGAGTCAGAGGCACTCGAGTCAGGTCGGGGGCATGCAGGGGAGATGGAAGTGGACGCTGGCAGTGAGTTCTGGAAGACAGGAGAGATGCTGACCCGGTGCTGGAGGAGGTAGAAAGGGTGTGACAGGCGAGGGAGCAGCACAGATGAGTCCTGGAGGCCAGAAAGCTTTTGATCTCCGTGGGGAGCAGGGTGGCTCCTGGGACAGAGCTGGAAAGGTCAAAGGCAGGCTGGCTCAGGAGAAAAGAGCCGAAACTCACAAGGTGTAAAGCATGCTTCAAGCTTAGTCATCCCCTGTTCAGCCCTGAGAGTAATCTGGCTCCTTCTGTCTACCGCAGAGAGGGCCCGAACCTGCATCTCTACCCCGGCGCTTAGGACCTGCCCAGAGAGTCACACCGAGAATTCAGCCCAAGTTGACCGAAATGTCAGGAAACATTAGAAGCGCAGAGCAGGGCTGGGCCCGTGGATCCCTGGAATGTGGTCCCGGCAGCTTTGGGGCTGGGCTGGGCTGGCTGGCTCCCTGAGAAGCACCTTCCTTCGAGGTTTCACTTACCCCTGATAGCCTTTGCCACACAGCATGCTTCTTAGACTCGGAAGCAATTGCCCAGTAAATATCAGATGTCAGCTGGTGCATCCTGGAATGGACTTGGCCCCAGGCCTTTACTCTCAAACTCATACTTCTACCTGGGGCTTCCTCCTAAGGCCTCCCCATAGGAACTGACCCCCTCGTGAATGACCAGGAACCCATCTTCAAGAAAAGCCACTTGCCTCCAGTCATTGAGAAAGTAAGGGGAATGTTTAACCTCCCACCTACCGTGCCCCTGGGCCCTCTCTCACTATCTAGTCTTTGTAGCATTCCTGTTTGTGTTGAAAAAAATATGCTTAACTTTAGGAAGCATCGCAAGGAAAATTGTGCTATGCTCCCTATTCTTCCACATTAAGACAACCATGTCATCTCTGGAAACGATCTTCTAGAACTCATGACGAGACAGACAGTGCCTCTCTGAGCTTCTGTTTCTGCAGAGTGACTTGTCCATTCATTCAGCTTCAAACCCTCCAGGAGCCATGCCCAAGCTGCTGAGTGCAGGTGACCAGGCTGGAAAGCAAGGCACGTGTGGGAGCCTCGTGGTGGAGGTGAGGCCAGTGTGCCTGCAAGCATTCCAGGTGGGGGCCATCAGGCCTTGCCAACGCTACTGTGAGTTCTTTTCTGGGGGAAGGAAGGAGAGTTCAGCCGGTGCCTGTGTCTCTTCATTCCTTGCAATGCTTAGCCAGTGCCAAGCTCTTGAAAAAGAGCCAAAAGACACAGGGGCCAGAGACCAGCCCAGAGGTCTCCGAGTTGGCCCATGGACCCTGGAGATGCAGATTAGCATGGAATACAAACACCACAATAACCAAGCAGAATGAGAAACTTGGTGCAGAAGAAGATGG